CATCCATCTTCCATCTGAAGATGGACTCCTGCAAGAATTCGAAAGCTCAGGACAATAAATCTATTGATCCAGTGCTCGGCAAGTCTTCTTCCTTATCCATACATACCAATGCTTGTGCTGCTAGATCCTGTAATTGCATGCAATGGATAATTTGCCAATGGCAATACTCGATTCCCATTAACCTAGTCCGCGATGTACACATCAAATTGTAGCAACTTCGCTGGTCGGGATGGACTCGAGAAATCTATCTCTGCTCCATTTATGAAACAATCATTAACGCTGACCTACTTGTTTGCTTTTCACAAGGATGGCGATAGTCGAACTTCTTCCTCCGAACCCGCGGTCAAACCTTCCTCACAGGATCCGTCCGAGAACAGCTCAGGAGGCAAGGGAAGTAAGGTTTCTGGTGACGAGCGGAAAGGTGAACGTGAGAAGTTAATTGCTGTTTTCCGATACACATGTGTTCTCTGCACCGCTCATCCTATCTGATATGAAACTTACTCCCTAATATATCACACATTGTCGTTACTAGAAGAAAGGTTTGTATTGGCTCCGGCTGCGGCAAGTGAGAAAATCCTTCTACCATTTATTTCCCCTTCGCCACACTAGAGATGTCGTTGAAATCTTTGGCAAATGGCCCTTTCTCTTGATAAGCCTAGAGCATGGAGAAGAACAGGGTGCATGTCTGTAGAAGTTCCGAGGACTAGGTGAGACATTGATTCATAATCAAACCCATACAGGCACATACATTCAGGAAAGAGATACCTTGAGGTTACGTTTAACTTTTGGAGGACGCAATGGGGTGACATCCTGGCGTGTGTGTTCGCCTTAAAATTGGAATTCTGCTGTCCCGGTCGATGTAGCTGTTCCTCATCTGCGTTCGTGAATGCCTTTCTTCGGGGATGTGGCCTTACGCGCATGTTTCTATTAGATCTATATATCAGAATCATTCTTCTGCTATATACTGTGTTTGGATGAAATGGACAACCTGACGAAGTTAATGTGGCAATACCTGCTTTCCATTAACCTAGTCCACGGTGTTCTCGCTAATTTGTGCACACTTCGCGGGTCGTGTAGGGCACGAGAATTCGACCTGTGGTTATTTTATCAAATAGCCATTAAAAATGTCCACCTCCTTTGCCTTTCATGAGCACGCCAATGGTCAATTGCCTAACTTGGACCCTGCGAAAGCATCTTCGCACAGAGATGCGTCCACATACTGAATACAAAAACAGAGGACAACTGGCGTCGGCAGCAAGCAAAAGGAAAAACTTGAGCAGGTATCCGTATCGGTTTATTGAGGGAAGGATAGGCGAACGCCTTTGAACTCCCTATCATCTTGTTACCAATGGGAAGTTCAAAGGCGTTCGTCTATCTTTCCTTCAATAAACTGATACCTATACCTGCTCAAGTTCCTCCTTTTGCTCGCCGCCGATATCATTTATTCTCTGTTCTCGTAAGCGATCTGCGGACGTATCTCTGTGCGAAGAAGTTTTTGCATGGTCCAGGTAAGTCAGCCGACTACTGGCATACATATGACAGGTAAAGTAGTGAGTCGACGTTAATGATATTTGTTAAGATCATCACGGATATAAATGTTGAGATTGTTGTTTTTCCATACGCGCGTATTTTCAGTATCGATTATCCTTACTGTTGTGGTGTTCACTCTAGAGAACTCATGCATGGTTGTAATTAGAAGAAACCTCTCATTTGGCTCCGACCATAACAAGTGAGAAAGCGACACAACCGGAAACCAGCCGTTAGGAGGAGAATCCGATCACTGGTATGCAAATACTGGGTCTGGT